TCATGCTTTTCTTGGTTTAATTGTGTCATGACATTTCAGTTTGTTTCTTTTTCTCTAAGTGAGCTTGTAGTGAAGAAAAGAGGATCTGGGGCCAAGTATTGTTGGTTCTTGGCTTGTCCAGAGTTGCTGCTCGAGGTACCTGGGAAGGGCTGCCGGAATTTTCTGCATCTTGTGAACTCACAGTCTCTGTGCTTTCGCAGGGCTCAGGCTCTGTCTTCTCACTTTCCTGGAAACCTCTTAAAATTGTTTCCTAGCTTTCTGAGTTGAGCAATCAAAGTGGGTACTGAGGCCTTTCCTGTTCTTCGCTTAGCAAACAACTAGGTGCTGTTTCTCTGGTTTCAATCTGACAAATAAGGGGTGTTTACTTCGTCTTAAGGGTCCTTTTGGCTACCGCCAACTTTTACCCTTAATGGATCTTTCTAGACATGTTGGTGTGTTCACTTATGCCTGAGAAGGCTGACAGTTGAGCAGAGGGACCTTGTTAGAGACAGTGTCTCCTTCTAGGGTGTCACATCTGTTTCCTGCTTCCCATCTCATTTCTAGATTGATGATCCTGCTCTGGTATTACTGCAAGTTGGCCTTCACTTTCTGTGAATTTGTTCCCTTCAGGTTATTTGCAGAAATGACAGAGGTGAAGCCTAGAATGGCTCTCTCTGCCTGTAGTCTTCTAAGGACTGGAGAAAAGGATGGCTAAGAGGTTAATAAAGATTACTTTTGTTTGGACTCATCTCTTTTTAGCGGTATCTGTTAGGCAGGCCTGTGCTCATCCCTGTAAGGGTGCCAGAGGTCCAGAGCCATGAGGTTTGTTCAGTATTTTTAGCCCAGCATTTTGCATCTGGAGTGCTGTGAGTGGGGGTTTCAGGCAGCATGCTAGCCCAGTCCCTTCGGGGCCTCCTAGCGAGCAAGCAGTTTCTGAGAAATCCAGAACTTTTGAAAGGGAAGAGAGCAGGAGGTCCCAGGGCTGGTCCTTGTTGCCAGCAACAGGTGTATTCCCCAGAGCTAGCTCCAAGGAGTTAATTGATGTGTTTTCTTCTTTCTGGAAACTGGTTAATTAACCTTGTTGAGGCATAAATATATGTGATGCAGATGCTTCCTGTAATCTTAGTGCATAACCTGGTGTCTTCCTTACCTTTCAGCTGACAGCTCTGACAACTCTGATTTGGAAGATGACATCATCTTATCTCTGAACGAGTGAGGAAACATCACCATTTGGAAGAGATTCTTGGCATGCGAGAAGCAGTTGTATGAATTGAGAACACTTTTCCTTTCCTATCCTTTCTCCCAGGGCTGTCTATTAAGGAACTGCATGCCCTGTATTCAGAAGATTATGGCTTAAAGACTCACTGGAATCTGAGGGTCTTTCTAAAAACAATAACAACCACAAAAAGACAACAGGGGTTAGGTCCTATTCTGCTTTCCCACCTGCATCCCCACCTCGAGATGGACATAATCTTTCCTCTAGGGAAAACAAAACAAAACATGCCTCAAGTTATTTCGCTATATATTTTCTTTGTATAATGTTCTTTACTTAAAGAACAAGAAATAGTTTTTTATAAAACTAAAAAAGAAAAAAAATACACAACAGGCATTTATAACTGAGGGTATGAACTTATATCCACTGTGTCTCTTGGCCCTGCACTTCATTTTCTTTGGAAGAAAATGATGTCTAAGAACAATAGAGGCATTTTTACATACGTATTTAAATGAAAAGCAAAATCGTGGTTTCTTAAATTGATAAGGATTAAGAATATTTTATTATAAATATAATATATGATTTTTTTAGCCTGTTTTGTTGCCTCCTATGCTGTCAGGTTAATTTGTTTTCCGTCACACCAGGAGTGGACAAGGCACCGGTGGTTTTCTGAGGAATGCCTACATGTACCCGCCTTCACGGTTCACGGGCAGCATGGTCATTGTGGATATTGGTTTTGTGGAGTTGAGGGAACTTAGGATGTAAGTTCACTCCCTCTATTTTTCTTTGTGATTGTTTTTCAAAATCTTTTTTCTTCCCTTGCTCCCCAATGTGGAAATTACAAATCAAAGGCCTTTTTCTTTAATGTAAAGTGTATTTATTTAAAAAAAATACAAAATAAACTACAAGTCTTTGTTTATGGCCTTTCCCTATTCTCTTTTACCAAAGTGGGGCCTCCCTTTCCTTGAAGCTCTAGTTGGCCACACATAAGATGCTTGCAAGAGAAGCAGAGCAGGTTAATAGTGAGTGCAGGTTCCCCTGCACCCCTGGAGAACAGCAGCTCGGGTGTGTGGCCCTGGCCTGGGTGTGGGCAGAGGCCCCACTTTGGGCAGGGTAATAGGTGGCAGAGCTTTCGCATGGTGCACAGCCGACTCACCGTCCCATCCCCGAGTTCCCTGGCAGCTTGATGAGGTGGGGGCCTCCGGAGTTTCAGAGGGATGGGTTACCAGGGCTGAAGGGCATGTCGGCTATCCCTGCAGCTGGAGTCATGGCTGCCATCACTGTTGGCTGAGGATGGGTGACACAGGGCTTTTAACCATTCTTCAGTCCTGCTGCTTTTGACTTATTGGGGTTTGGTCAGGTTGAGTTTGCAGCTACTTTAGGGGTGTGACTCATAACCACCGAGAACGTACCAGGGACTCCTACCTTGTTCATTCCACCTGTTTTTCTTCCCACAATAAATAGAAAACTCTGACCTTTCTTCCTTTGATTTTTGACCTGAAAAACAGCCTCTTAGTTTCTGTTACCTAGAACACAGCTAAAGAGACTTTTTCTCCCTTACTGAGAGGACCGGGGGTGGGGGTAGGGGATGTGTGTTTGGTTGTCATGAAGTAAACAAGGGAAGACAGCTAACTCCAAAAGCAGGGAAAGCCCTGCTGAGACAGGAGCAGCGTACAGTCTGTGACACACAGGGACATGAGCCTGGGCCACACAGGAACTGCTTGGTCCTTTAAGAGCAGAGGTCTCAGCGATTCATTCGCTTCATGCCTCAGCTTTAGATGATGGCTACCACTTGGCACTAGGGTCGCCTAAGTGCTGGGCGGCTGCAGGCAGGAGCAGCTGCACGCTAGCTGAGCTTCTCTAACCTGCGGGAGCCCTGGGGACAGCCTGCAGGTCTCTCAGGCAGAGAGGGCGCCTCTGATGGGAGAGTAGAGTTCTGGTTGACTTGACAACATACCCTTAGGAAAATGCCGTAAGACACAGGAACCCTTCTCCTTAGTCTCCAGGGGTTGGTGAGGAGTCACTTAGGAAGAAACCAACCGGGTAGCACCATGTCTGCCTCACACCTTCCCCTTGAGCAGCCCAGGACCTAATCCCAGGTGGAGGCAAAGCTATGTCTCACCAAGGTGTTGTCTCTCCAAGGTGTCGTGAAGCAACCAGGGCCTTGACTACCTGGAGAGGTGACAAAACCTGCCTGTGTCTAAATAGCCAAGGGAAGTCAAGAGAGGTCACACAGTAGGTTGTGGCTCCTTTCCAAAACTCTGGTTATCTGTGAGGCCAAAAGGGACCCTTCTCTAAGGGGTGGACAGGGCAAAGACTGGTGTCTCCCCTACCCTGGCTTCCTAAGGATTGTGTCTCCTACTTGGGTCTGCAGGGGTAGGTAGGAGCCATAGGCTGTGACAAGATAGGCAACCCGGAAATGCCTTCGCAGCTCTGCCCCGTGACTCAGCAGAGAAAACCTCAGTGCACTTCAATACGCAGCCCCCACCTACCATGTTCTCAGCAGTGCCACCTGCCCAGGTGCATCCTAATGTGCCCAGTGGTCTTTCTTATACCTGGTGACTCTGTCACAGCTCAGGTAGAAAGAGGCAAATAAATGCATTCGACACTTTCTTGTATTACATCCAGGGTCAGAGACAGCTCTGTCCTGTGGACAGGCAGGTCCTCCATGCAGTCTGCAGGAGCCCCTCCCTGTGCAGGACAGAGCTCAGATCCCACTGTCACCCGTGCTGGTGGAGAGGGGGCCACATCTAGACCAATGGCAGGTTTAAGAGAACCTATGGTTTCTGTCACCTGGAAGCTCAGGTCTCTTACCAACGCTTCCATGCCTCAGGCCTGACATAGTGCCTTTGGAGTATCTAAACTGCACATAAACACTGCTGGATGTGCCTGGACTGTGTTGTAAGGCGACAGCTGCCATGTGCTCTGGGTTCCCTTCCTGGTCCATGGCACCAGTGAACTTGTGACCACTGCCCACCTGCCTAACCAGACCCATGAGGGCAGAATTGTGAGACTGGGGTCCCTTTCCCCTTGCATCCTTTCCTCCCCCAGCCTGGTTTGAGTGGCTTTGCTCTAGCACTGCCATATACCTCAGTGAGAGTGGACTTCATTTTTCAAACAAAATCAGTTTCTTACTAAGCTGTTAGGTCACTTACCAAGGACATTTTCCTAACTTGCTGCACTCCCTGACAACACTGGAAGTTCAACTAGGGATCTACCATTCTCCACAAGGCGCGAGGTGTGACCGGGATAGGGCCTGTCTTTTTGGCACACCAGCCTGAAAATCAGACTCCTAAGTTCAAGAGTTAACCAAGGCAGGTGGCCTCTAGGACCCCTGGGCTAAGGCTACACTGGGAGGCTACACCAGAAGGATCCTGGACAGTTTGGGGGCCACCAAGACCTCCTGGGATCAATATTGCACATATAACACAACTGTGGAAAACTACCCATTATCGAACAGGTTTTATGATGGGCACTTTATCTATCAGCCGGACTGAACTGATGGCTGTACACTTGGGGCAGGGAAAACCAAACCCCAAACTACCAGGACCTATTGGCACAGACCTTAGGCTCAGCCCCTCCTCTGCAGGGGATCTGACCAGGGTGGCACTCAGCAGGGTCCAGGGCTGTGTGTGCCAGCGTCAGCTAGGATTAAAAATGAGTCCTGACTCGGCCTCAGAGCTGAGAGCCACCAAAGTACAGCAGGCCTTTTGGACACAGTAGTGCCGGAGACATGATATAGTGTCATACACTGGGGAAGTTTTCCATTCTTTGAAGAAAACTTGATTAAACCTGGACACTGAACGGATTAGAAATCCATCCTGACAAAGGCTTTACTGACAACTTGCCATACAGTTAGTCAAAAAATAAAAAAATACAGAATACAGCAGACAGTATCTCATACACTAGAGAAGTCAACATAACGGGTTCTTTTCGTTAAAAAAAAAAAAAAATCCCCCACCATCTAAGAATTTAGATTGAACCAAATTAATCCAGCAGAGAATTCAAACCAAGGGAGCAAGTAGAGAAGCAGATTTGAAAAGTGACTGCTTGAGTGTGGGTTAGGCAGTGTCTCTCACTATCACTATCACCATGTGCTCCTCTTCCAGCTTGCCCAATGTCCTCAGCGCTGACTGGAGGTACTGCTGTGAGAAGTCGCAGGGCGGGAAGGCGTAGAGCATGCCTGTGAGGTCTCTGCCCTTAGACCCCCCTACTGGCAGGCTGATCACCCCAGCAGCCTGCTTCTGTTTCAAGTAGGAAACCAGGTTCCTGAGAAGCCTTCTCTGCAGGCCTGGCTCCACTGTGGCCATTACCTCGGTGCCAGGCCCACTGGGGGCTGCCTGGGTGGCCAGGAGCACGGCGTAGCCATTGGGGCTCCCCTGCTTGATGCGTCGAGTGACCTCGTCAAGCTTGGGCTGGTCCAGGCGAAGGCGCTGGGCGATCTTCAGCTGGGTCAGCTTGCTTCCCGAAGTATGGTCTTTGAGGAGACCACTGATGACTCCCTGGTCCCCCTCTAGGATGTGCATAGATGTTGGGAAACAGCTGTTTTTCAACACTAAAAGCCCATTCCAACCCAGCTGCAGTGTCTGAGCATACTCTGAAAGAGTCTTCAGCTTTTTGGTCTCGTGTTTTGGCTCTTCGAGAGGCTTGGGCTCAACCTCAGTGGTCCGATGATTGCGCTCACTCTCTCTCACCTTCTTCCCATGGGAACAGTCTGGAGCTTCGTGGTGGTGGTGGTGGTGGCTGCGCTCCTCAGCCCCATGTCTGCTGTTGCTGAGGGAGTTGCCTGACTCCTTGGTCCCTTCACCAGAGTGGTTCTCCTTGCGGCTGCGTTCAGGGGTGCGGTCACAGCCGCGGTCAGCCTGCTGCCCACCACCCTTGGTCCTGCTTCGTTCCTCATATGGAGAGTGGGTTGTCCTCCCACGGTCACTGGAAAGGCTCCTCCGCTTGCGCCTGTCTTCCCAGGGCTTGGGCATGCCTCTATCCCCGTCCCCTCCCCAGCGCTCACCACTCCGGCTACGCACTGAACGACTATAACTCTCCAGGCTGTTTCTGCGGTCAGAACTTTTACTGGGGCTGGTCCAGTCCCCTTCCAAAAAGGTCCTGTCTCGGTCCGAGTACAGAAGGTGTGGAGGGGTCCTATCTCGCACCCGCAAGTCTGCATCCAGGGTCCGGTGCCGGGTATATCCATCTGTGAGAAGTTCATAGTGCACAGGGAGGGGTGAGGGCTGGTACTGCTGGGGATACCGAGTCTCTTCCGCTTTGGCAAAATCTACCCGGAGCCTGCGGTCTGGACCACCCAAAGGAAAGCCCCTCATTTTTGCACAGGCGGCCTGGGCTGCGTCCAAGCTCTCATACTGGATGTAGGCAAAGCTATCTCCTTTGACATGGTCAATGGTCCGAATGCTTCCAAAGCGATCGAACTCCCGGGCCAGGGCTGCCAGGGAAGTGTTGGGTCCCAGGCCACCCACCCAGAGGCGAGTGGTGGGGTTGGCCTTGCCATAACCGATCTTAATGGGATTTCTGCCAATCACCCGGCCTGACATGGCCACCTTAGCCCTGTGGGCCATGTCCAGGTTCTGGAATTTGAGGAATGCATAGGCCCCCCCCTGCCCTCGGGCCGGCCTCTTGATGACCACCTCCTCAATGATGCCATACTTCTCAAAGGCACGGCGCAACTCCACCTCAGACACGCTGTGGTCCAAGTTCCCAATGAACAGGTTTCGAGTGGCCCGCTGATCGTCCTCCGGCATCAGGTCCTCTTCGCACACGGCCGGGTAGCCATAGGGGCGCCCACGGTCGTCATACAGTCCGTAGTAGTCCAGGGCCCGCTCCCGCGACAGCCCCACGGCGGCGGCAGCGGCGGCAGCGTCCAGGGCAAAGGCTGCGGCGGTGTGACGGGCGCGGGGCTCCCGCAAGGGTGGGGCAGCGACTGGGGACAGCGAGCGCTGCTTGTACTGGTACCCTCCGTGCAGCGGCAGGTAGCCGAGCGGGTCTGCTGGCGCAGGAGGCCCCGGGGGCGGCGTGGTGGCGGCGGCGCTGCTGCTGCTGCTTCTCCGGCTGCTCCCGCCACCGCCGCCGCGCAGGTACACCGGCTCCACCTTGAGCGGACGGTCATACAGCAGCAGCTGGCGGGCCAGGGCGTGCTGGCGGGCCTCACGCGCGTCCTGCGGGTGCCGGAAGTTCACGTAGGCCACGCGCCCCAGCTCCGGCGTGTGCGACAGGCGCAGACTGATCTCGCCGAAGCGCTTGAACTGATGGAACAGCCGGTCCTCGAGGTGCTCGGCGGGCAGCGCGGGACTCAGGCTGCTGATGAGCAGCGTCTTGTACTCCGGCACGCCTGCAGAGCCAGGACCCGCAGGTTCGGCCCCGGGCGGCGGGGGCGGTGGCGGCAGCGGAGAGGCCCGGGGCGATGCGCCTGAGGCGCCCGGGTCCCCCGAGGCCTTGCCGCCGCGTCCTCCGCCGCCGGCTCCGGAGCCCGACGAGCGTCCGCTGCTTACACGGTGATTGGCGTCCCCGGCGCCGCGGCCGTCGCGATGTCCTCCGCCGCCGCCCCCGCTACCACGGGGCTTGTCGCGGGCCCGCGCTGGAACTGGATGTTTGGCGCCGCCGGAGGCCTTATGCACCGCTCGCCGCCCGCCCGCCTCCGCCTCCCTTTCGCGCTCCCGTGGCCGCTTTGCCGATGACGACGAGCCACGCCCGCTCGGGCTGGAGTCTCGCTCGCTCTGCCGCTTCATGGCACCAGCGCGGCGAGCGGGCGGCCCGCGGGCCCGTCACAGCGGCGGCGGCGGCGGCGGCCCTGGAGGCAGCGCCCCCGGCGCCGCCATCTTGGACAAAAGGACTCGGCGCGGCGGTGGTGGCGGCGCGGGGCGGGAGCGGCGCCGAGGGGGCTGGGCTTTGAGTCATCATGCTGCGACGGCTTCCCCGCGTGACTGTGAGGGCGGAGCGACAGCGGCGCTGGGATGCGTCATCTGGTTGCGCCATATCATGTCACGTGATCCAGTAGCAAGAAATTAGAGAAGTAGGGGGGCTCGCGGGTGTGGGCTGTGACAGGCGCCGGACCTAGGCTAGCGTCCCCCAGGCTGGACTTAGGAGTGGCAGCTTCCGTTGGTACGGGCATCCCAGGACTTGTGCAGCGGGCGCGTTATATGTTGTAGCCCCCTCAAGTCCGTGAGTAGGTCGAACGACCCGCGTTCGTTCCCTGCGGTAGTGCGGGACTCACATCCTTTGCATCATCTGCATTCGGGTTCGCAAGCAGCGGTCCAGTTAAGGGCCTAAGAACCATGGCTGTTGAGTCCTCAGTGCTCCAGCCAGTGTCATGTGCTGGGTTCAGGCACAGAGCTAGAAGTAACCCACCTGCAGTTTACAGTTGGAATAGGCTCCTTGGTGCCTGTCAGTCCAACTTTATGTGGTGGGCATCTGGGCAGACAGCAGGCTGCAAAGGCAGGACCACAAAGCCAAGGGTGAAGAATCCAGGTACAGACAGCGTGGCTACCATTGCTTGCATGCTGATCCTTTGCTGGCCAGTGCTGTCCTTTTCACCTCCAGGTGTGGTGAGGGAAGACTGCTCAAGCCTACTGGGAAGCTTTTATTTTCCAGGCTGCTGAAACCATTGCCAAACCTGACCCAACTTCAGACAGAACCCACAGGATGAGGAAGAGTGCACCTCTCTTTTCCCTCCTCTCATAATCAGAACGCAGCTGTTGCAAGAAGCAAGGTCTTGGAAGAGACAGCAGGAAGCTCCATGGCCAGCTGTAAAAAGGCCCCTTACAAACTGAACTTAGGAACACAAATGAAGTGACCTGTAAGACCAACTCCTCAGCACTATTTCTTAGACCTTCCTTTCAGTTGGTCTCTATTCTGTGCAAGGAGGTGTCTCACAGGAGCAACAGCTCACACAATAACTAAGAAAGCTGCCAAAAACCCAGGCCTAATACCAAGGATAAATAGGCAAAAAGCAGCCCACCCACACCACTTCTTTGTAGAAGCTGATGATTGCCGGTCTTACGGAAATCCAAATTGCATCAGAGGATGGCAGACACTAGACCTAGGCTGCAAACCCCGATAAGTAGGTATCCACGGCATCTTTAGAAATGTCAGTACTGAACACTTGTTAAAGTCGTTGTGGAAAAACATGCCCATGTATCCTAGGCCCAGCTTACACTGAGCACGGATGGGAGGCCCTCCTGTCTACTTCAGATTCCACCTCTGTGCCAAGGAACAGTGCAGCCTCCAGCCCCTTCTAGTGAACCAGGTGAGGCAGGGTGCCAGGTTTCACCTCCTCCCTCGACTAAGGTGTGTAGTATACTCCAGTCCTGCAAAATCAACACATACTGGCTGGCCTCAGCCGGTGTCCTGCCCTGGTCTTGTCCGCACTGGTGGGCTTCAGAACAAATAGGAATATACCCCAATACTCTTTGCAAACTGGAAGCCATAAAATAGTGGGGATCCTCATCATGGGGGTAAAATTCTATTTCAGTATTCACTTTAATTCTCCAACGACAGCCAGATTATTTTTTTTCCTTTTAATAAAAAAATTCCAGACACACTTTGAAGTCCTAGAGTAAACCAACAACAGAAGGAAATGAATCCCACTATGGGGGCACCACAGAGCCCACATCAGGAAAGCTCCAGACTTCACATTTGATATTGTCAGGAGCCTGCTTAAAAAATAAATTACAAAAAGGCTGTTTTGGCAAGAAACAGCCAAACTTCTTCCCCTCAGGTGCAGCAGGAATTGGGTTGGGCAGATTATAAATCAGTCCGAGCACTGGCTGCCTTGGGTGCATATTTAGGCATCAGTTCATTTATCTTCCGGATGTAATCAGATTTCTCAGCACAGCCTTTGCATGTCTCTCCCCAGTCATCCAGGATCTTCTTCAGCTCTTTCACTCGGAGCTTCTTCAGGTCCACTGTGCTCAGGTCAATCTGCTTGTCTGCAGAGGAGAAAAGGAAGAGTAAGAGGCTGGGTGGGAGCAGCCAGAGCCCCAGTCCTGGGATGGGTTCTTCCCTGCACAGCTAAACCATCTCTTAACCAAGATGGCAACCTCAGGCCATCCGTGTCCCCTCCAGACATGCAGCGTAGAACCACTGCACAGTTCGGAAGGGGAGAGACACAACTCCCATCCTTCAAGTACCTCTTACATAGTGGATGACGACTCCACAGTGGTTGACAGAGCAGATAAATCCCCTCATCTCTGTTTCCCAATACTGGCAGGCCTGGAACCAGGAGCTTACTCTGATTATCACTTGTGACCAGTGACCCAAAGGCAGGTGGACCTCTAAGCGATATAACCCTCAGAAAACCAGGCGTTGTCGATGTAAGTGAGCAAACACAGGGCCTTCAACCTTTGAGTCTTAATAAAAACACTGGTACCATTTAAACTTTACAGAAAAGGCCCTCACTCACTCTAAAGGCTGGGAATGTTTGTGTAACCAGAGATGAACTCAGCCAGAGACATGCTATAGCTCCTGTCACTCCTGGGCTGAAGACCTCAAGGCTTTCTCAGTGGAAAAATGACTAGGTGGTTAAGTCAAAAACTTCTAATGCTCCCAACCTCAGACTAAAGCCAAAGTCCTCACCAACCATGCCCTGCATGCCACTGGCTGCTTTTACACATTGCTTACACTCACTGCCTGGAAAACTCTACCTCATTTGCGAATCTCTTCAACTGGATCTATTCTGACCACACATGTTGATGCCAGAGTGCCCCCAACTCTGGCATTGAGAGTCCTCTATCACACTACACAACCTGCTCTCCATGGCTCGACTATTACCTTCCTTTCTGTATACAGTGGCCAAGGAAGGTAGGCCTGGTCACACTTACCATACTTTAGTTCACAGATCTGGCTATCTTTCTTCTTCAGCTTCTCACAAATCTTCTCCACAGGGATGTGGTGGGACAGAGGCTTTGACACCTCGTTGATGATTTTTGTAGCAGCATCATCTGTGGCCCCAATATAGTAGCACTGTAGCAAGAGAAGGATACTAGTCTTCAGGAGGTGGCACTTAAGAATCATTTGCTCCAACACACCTTTCTGTAAGGGACTTATTTTTTGGGGTGCCCCACTGGACTGGCATGTCAGCATAAACCCCAGGCTCTTTAAACAGGTGTTGTCTAGGAGCTTATGAGTCACTTGGGTTCACAATGTTAACAGACAAACCAGAGACTGTCAGGGAAATTAAAATGACAAAGTCACTGCAAAGTTGGGGATCTTGTCCTCACTCATTCCTGGCCTATCCCACGGGCACCTTGGTAACCTCTGCACAATGTCACGCCTTTTTTGGCCCTTGGGCACTGGCTGACTCCTCTGCCTGAAGTGACCTGACTTCAGTGATGCCCGCCTCTGGGAGCCCTCTTATGTGGTGTCTAATCTACCCTACTAGTGACCAAGGTTAAAATGACCAAGTCCATCCTCTTCAGGACACCAATTCATTGTCAATTTTTACTACTGCTGTTCCCGGTGGCCGGCTTGCAGTGGGTTCTTAATAAACACTAAGAGGACACAAATACCACAATTGGACAATACAAGTCTTGGGGAAGGACCTGAAAGGCCTTCCATCCTGCATCAATTTACAGACAGAATAGCAGCTCCCCAAGGAGTGGAGGGTAAAGACGCACCAGGGCCATCTCGGAGTCACTAGCTACTCACCAAGCGATTCTCTTTGCCTCTTGCTTCACAGCAGAACTTTATAAGTTCTTTCTCAACAGTAGTTGGTGAGAATGTGACATCTCTGTCTTTGAGGTCCTGGTAAAATCTTCCCAGATAAGAAATGCAAACTGGAAAAGAGAGAGAAGGGAGGCGCTCAGCACGGAGTGGTCCCCCATTCCACGGAGAAGGAGCATCTACAATTTTAATAGGCGACAGAGTTGCAGCACTAGTCTATCACCAGCTTTCCTCAGGTGCCCATAGTTGGACAGAACCCGAATCCAGTTTGTCAGGGTTCTGTGGTCCACCCTGGACACTCGGGGAGTAGACATTACCCCGATGACCCACAAACGCCTCCTCCTTGCTCCTTTCATCAAGTTTGAAACGAAAGTGAACAAGTGTCCTTGAGATGGGACGCACTGCATGACCTCATAAATGGAGACTGGAGGCTGAAGAAAAGCGATCAAAATGCTGCTCATCTCCAAATATAACACTGAACCCCGAATTGCAGCTTCACGACCCCAAGACGGGCGCGGCATGTACAGCCGCGATCGGGGGGGGCCCCCGATATGACAGGGATGCTCCAGCGAGCCTCTGGGCGGTGGTGGGAAGGGGCAGAACTCCGGCATCATGTGGATTTCTGGCTACGTTTTCAGCACGATCTAGTCTCCACTTTTTCTCATCGGACCAAGGATTTCCAGGCCCTTCCTCCGCGGACCCGAAGGGACTGGTGGCCGCTCCCGTCCACTCGGTAGTCTGGTAGGCCATGGAACCCGGACCCCGAGACCCCGCACCTTCGCAGTCGCCGGGCCGCAGCGCCCAGCTGCCTGGCAATACACTCAAGGCCAGCGCCACCGCCAGACAATGCGTAGCCCACATCCTCCACGGTCGCCGCCGCCCGACTGAACCGCACCCGCCGCACCACACCGCGCCGCCTCTGAGTCCTCCCGGCACGCAGCAGTTTGCCATTGGCGGAGCCCCCGCGCTCTCCCACACTCCGCATTCTCATTGGCTTAAGCACCGCAGAGGCTAGCCCGGCGGCTCCACGCTGCCCTGCCCCATTGGCTAATGGCGTCTCGGCCCTAGACAGTTGTCGGCCGCTGATTGAGTCCAGTCGCCCGTAGGAAGTGGTTGCGACCGGGCGGAAGTCGCCGGGCCTGCCATGTTGCCTCGTGGGCGGCCTCCCGCACCTACCCAGCTGCCCCCTGTGCTTCCTGTGTGGGCCGCGCCTGCCCACGAAATTCTGCGGTTTGTCCCGCCTGGGCCCCGAGTCGAGGCGCAGGTCAGGCGTTGTGGGGGTCAGCGGGGCGCTCTCGTTGGCTGTGGGCGCTCGCGGGCACAGGCGAGGCGTCGTTTCTTTCGCCGGGTTTGAAGAGTCACGTGGCCGCGCCACCCCGCCTCCGCTGAGCCTGCTTGGCTGTAGCCGTAGTCCGGTGGCCCTTTGCGCCTCCCGAAAGGCGCGAGGCCGACCCAGCCCGGCAGACGCCCTGCACCTGAGGGAAGCACCTGGGCAAGGGCTGCGGCTCCCCGGTCGCCCCAGTTTGGAGGCGGGGACCGGGGGGCTTGTCGCCGTTTTGGGACGCGCTCTGAAGGAGGCCAGCTCGCCTGTTGCTCCCTGCCGAGCCCTCAGGGCCCCGGGCCACCCATGGGTGAGCAGAAGAGGGGTTCCCTCCTGTGCTGCCTGTTGTGGAAGCCCGACGCGGTCAGTGCTGATTAAAGCAGAAACATGAGCCTGGCGTGGTGGCTCACGCCTGTAATCCTAGCTCTCGGAGGCTGAGGTGGAAGGATCGTTGCGAGGTCGAGACCAGCCTGGGATACAAAGTGAGCTCAAGGCCAACCTGAACTGCATAGTGAGACCCCGTCTCAAAAAAGAAAAAAAAAAAAAAAAAAAAAAAAAGGCAGAAACATGAGCTTGGGGGGAGGGGGGGGGGCTTGGAGCCCTGTGACAGAGGGCGGAGAGGGGCACTAATGCGCCCATTCAGTGAATTCAGTGGGTCAGTATCATGTATTCATCTTTAATTCACATCACAGCAGTCAGGGGATTGGAGAGAGGGAAGAAGTCAACCGGCAGGTATTTACATCTAAAATTCACATTATTGTATTTAGAACATGCTACCACAGTATATACAGTAAAATACTTATAGGGACATTGGTACAAATTTTTAAACTTTGCTTTTCTGGTACAGATAAGATTTTTTTAAATCACTTTTTCTTTACATACGAATACACAAAAGAAATGGTTAGAAGTTTTCTTATTTTTAAATAAGCACAGAATGCCAGAAGTTAAAAACACATTTATAGAGCTAAATACCAATTGGACATCACACTCTATACATTTTTTGCTCAAATTCCTGTACAAATACACAGCATTCAAATAAGTATTTACAAATAAGCTTGAAAGAATGAAAATCAGTATTTTCACCATCTTTTCAAAGGATTCTCATCTCTGTCCCTCCCATTTCCCTTCTAATTGGCTGATTCTCCAACAAGAGATTCAGAATATGTCCACGTCATCCAGTTGGGGAAAATGGAAAGGGAAAACAAATTCATTTCACCTTGCACAAAGCAAGGGCAACCAGCTTATAACTCCCCCACCCCCTACCTGTACCACCAAGTGGAGAAGGTAGATGTTCTTATGTGATGACTGCCTTGTCCAGGGACCAAGGTTCAGAAGTGCCTGAAAATCTAAAGCTGCCCTCCTAAGAAATTACAAACCTAGCCCCTAACTTGTAACACCTGTGAACCTCATATGATCGAAAGACTGAAGCCTGCAGGAGAACTGAGGCTTAGGAGCAGGCCTACCCTTTGAGCTAGGGGTGCCTTGACTGAGATGACCTCAGCAGTCTGACTGCCTGGGATGATGCTAATGGTATCAGAAAAAAATCTCACACTAATGATAAGGCCCAACACCCTCAAGGTATTTGGGCCTTCTGTCTTTGTTAGTAGATTACTTGCTGGCAAGTCTTAATTTGACATTTGTTTATTCAAGAAAAACACCTTGACCATGGTCTTTTGTTTGGAAGGGGCAGTGAGGAAAGAAGGGATGAAGGGCTATGGGGCCAGGGCAAGCAAAAAAGGAACTGGGGGGAGTGGGAGAGGAACATGCCTGCTTAACAGAGAAGGAAGCAGGGACTCTTGGACCATCAAAGTTGTGACCATCACTAATGTGAACTCAAGCAAATGAGATTTTGTCTCAAGATAGTTAAACTTAGAAGCACCCTGGTAAAATACTATACCCACCCCACCCTATTCCCCAAATAATACACCAAGAGGAAAATCAGTGCCCTGACCTGAAAGTTTCCTATAAAGACACCACTTCACCCTGCCCAACAGACTGGGGAGGCAGGAGAAACCGCCCTCCTGCCTACTCTGAACCCTGAGTGGTGGTCCCTATGAGCCTGGGTGCTATTCTTGGCTACTTAGGAGATGACAATTCTACCTATGTACAGGTTCTGCTTCCAAAAGAAGTTCCGAACCTCCCACCCTTTTTACCCAGGAGCTTGATGAACCTGACCACATATCCTCACGGCCTGGAAGCCTGGCTGGGTAGCCAACCCCCATGGCTCAGAGGTAGTGCTGAAAATCCCTGATTCAGGAGTGGATGGCAGGCGCTGTGCCCACTTCTGAAAGCTTAGAGAATTCCTGGCCCCTGCCCTGGCCTCTCTCTTACACTAGTTCTAACACATGGGAAGGGGCCTAGCTCCTCGTAGAAGAAAGGTGGTTAGCCTCTCTGACTTCACTCCTCCACTCAAACACGAGAGGGTGGAAGATAAACCCTGCAGATCCATTCACTATGGAGGCTTCCACAGGTTAGGAGGTATACAAGTGGAAGGGAGTGAATGGTCAGAAACAGTGGTGGAGAGAGAAGTCCAAGGTGGAACAGAAGACGAGGCTGGCCCATGGAAACCTGGCAGTGTGTCCTGGGCATGCAGTTAGGCCAGTCATGTGCCTGAGCTGGCAAATTGGCCTGGCCAGCCCCTCAGTGGCACACTCCAGGATGGGAGAGCTGGTAGGTGGGCAAGCATTTGTGCAAAATGGCTTGTGGCCCCTTCATCCACCTGTGACATGTAGTCCATGTGGTCCTGCAATCCCTGAATGCAACCATGAACTTTTGTGTCCATATAGCAAAGGAAGAGGTTCCTAGTGCAATTTCCATTCTGTGCAGCTCTGCCCTGGATGGAGGGCCTGGGCTCCTGCTCAGGAGCTCCCTAGTGTTGCAAAGCAATTCTGTTTAGTATCTCCATATAGCTTCACGCAGTCGAACTGCAGGAGGAGAAAGCATCTACTGCATAAAGGAAGAGAAACCCAAAGAAATAGAAACAAAAAGTGAAAAAGAAGCCACAACCCTTCATGCTGCTGCAGCTTCTGAACATGGCAACACACAAGTTCATGGCAGTAGAACAGAGACTTGGGTGATTCTCTTCTGAGTGCCAAGCCTCTCCAGCTCCCTGGGGGGTGGGGATGGGGGACTTTTCTCACATCTGGAGTGGACTAGCAAGCTGCTTACTGGAGGGGGTGTTGCAGCTGCCTCCCTGCCCCTCACTGTTCCCCTCGGCCATGTTCCCACACCATGCGGGCCTGCTCCTCCTTGGTGCTCCCAGGAGGCAGTGAGGCCTTGCGGTGCAGGCCTCTAGGCCTCTCAGCTTCTTCTCGCAACAGCACACCTTCATCGTGCTCCAGGGCTGGCAGGCGGGGATGGTAGGGCTTGGGTGGCAGCGCAGGTGGGTCCATGGGGTCCTGAGGGATGACACACCCTGGGGCTGAGTGACTTCGGCATGGCTGGGCCTTGATGGAGTCCAGGACAGCAGACTCGGAGAGACTGTAGTGGACAGGGAGGTAGGGTGGCTCAAGGTCTTCATCACCATTCCAGGCCTGACTTGGCATGGAGTCTATGGTGTCTGTTCGAGGTGGGACCTCTGAGGAGTGCCCAAAGTTACTCTCACTCAAGGAGGACACGCCGCTGCTGGCACTTCCAGACAGTGTAGAGTTGCTGCCGTCCAGGCCCGACTGAGGGCTGGTGGGGGAGGCCGGGATGGGGTGGAGAGGAGACTGCGAAGGAAGGATGGGCACATTAGAACCCTCTCTAGATAGATTGGCTGGGCACACCATGTCAAGACCAGGAGTCTGCTTAGCAATACCTTTAACCCTCAGTAAGTGCTTATTTCTTGTTTCTTAAGCAGAAACCCAGTGAGTACTCCCCTACCCTCAAGTGAGTCAGTGGGGCTTCACTATCATTCCTGTGGACCTGACCATGGCTCTGCCCTAACTACTTGATGTTGGCACCCCCTGAAGCCAGGTCCCAGGCTGATGTCTGTGGCTCTAGGTTACTAATGGAAGGATGGAGTGATGAGGTCAGGTTGGAGAACAGAAAGGAACATGGTGGACCATGGATCAGATGAATGTGTTCTGAAATCTTAACAGATCCAGTCTTTTCTGGATTTGCAAATAAACTTAACAGCAGGATTTAAATTTTACTTGAGTGTTTTTATACAGTTTTGGTACATGATTCTTGCTGTCACTGAACACTAGTTTAAAAAGCTCTATAATCCACCACCAAGATGTTTAACCATTAAACTGTGGCAAATTGATAGCCTGTGGTGTTGGCAGAAGAACCCCAACTTTCTCAGTGCCCACTGCCCATACACTGCTGGTACTATGCATTGTCTCCAAGACCCCCTTAATTTCCCTATCCTCACTACTTGATCAACTGTAGCCATGTGTGGCTTTTGCTACACCTGGCTTCTGCCAAGCTGGCCTTTCAGGGAGAAACGGGGGAGGGCTTAGGAATCCCAGGGATGATTCTACAGCAGATGAGATGGTGGAGCCATGGCTTAAGTACATTACCTTGCGTAGGGTCCGGGCAGGGAGGGCTGGGGGGATGTCACCCAGAGGGTGGTGGAAGGCATCAAAGTGTAGGGAGTAATGACCTGTAAAAGGAACAGAACCAAGCCTCAGCAGAGGGCCCTTGTTCAGGCTGCA